CGATCTCTATGATCTTGTAGAAACCCATATCCTGAAGGCGTCTAGCTATACGAGGATGGAGTGAGTGGGCCCTAATGAACTCCCACATATCGCCTATCCGTCTAGCGCGGAATTTCTGGGACAATAAACACTGCCCCTGCCATATGTATGAAGACCTATGCTCGGCTTGTAGCAACAGTAGCTCTAGCGATGCAGGTCCGGGATGCACAGGCGGAACCTCCATGATGACTACTGTAAATTGAACAATATTAATTAAAGTATTTTTCTTTTTAATTGCTTAACATCTTTAAATATATTGCAATATGTTTAACATTAAAATTTATTCTATATTTTTACTATATTGATAATTAGGTTGATACATTTTCTATAGTATAATTTTATATTTTATATGTTGGTTTATTATTTTATATGTTACTTTATTATTTTATATGTTAGTTTACTATTTAATATGTTTGTTTATTATTTAATATGTTAGTTTCTTATTTTATATGTTTGTTTCTTATTTTATATATTATTTTATTATTTTATATGTTAGTTTACTATTTAATATGTTTGTTTATTATTTAATATGTTAGTTTCTTATTTTATATGTTTGTTTCTTATTTTATATATTATTTTATTATTTTATATGTTAGTTTATTATTTTATATGTTTGTTAGCTACTCACCTATTTTTGACTATAATAAAATTAAATAATTAATTTTTATAACTATATAATATTTAATTATTAAATATTCATATAACAATACTTAATTTGACAAATATTGTTGTTTTCTAATGTTGTTTTCGTACGTTTGTTGACTAGAATTCGAGAGAGTTTGTGTATAAACTATAAAGTTACTACGCTAAAGGGCACTACATTTTACTATGCTAAAAGGGCACTACATTATAAAATACGAGCACTATATTAAAATTACGGGCACAACATACCACTACAGGGAACTAAACAATATTAAAGTCACATATTCATATATGTACAATAATAACATCTAAATAAGATTAATTATTTCTAAAATAATAATTTATCTATCTTACTAATCTTTTAGCAAATAAATAATCTAAACCGGATAAAAATAATAAATTAATTTAGTCATAAAACAATCACAAAAAAGATATACCACAGTAAAAATTAACTAATTAATATTTTTTTTAACAACTAATAATAATTTCTCTATTTTACTAATTTTTTAGCACACTAATAATATAATTCGGATAAAAAATAATAATTTATTTAAATCGCAAAACAATGACGAAATAACATAGAACACAGTAAAAAATAACTAATAGGTATTTTTTATACATGAGTTTTAACAAAAAAATAAGTCAGAATACCCTATTTTAAATTTTTGGAAAGTTGAAGATTTGGTGATTTGGAGCCGAAACGAGTAACCCACTACGAGATAACGCCTTTGATACGATGTGGGACCGAGAATTTATAATTTTTGTGGGACCGATGAACTCCAACCAGAGTTTTTTTGGTTAAAAATATTAGGGGGACCACTGGAATTTTTTAAAGGAGGGGGGAGGTCTAATGGTTCGCGTCTGGTGTGGTGGGGAAGGAGAAGGGCGTTTATTTATATAGGTATAGCGCCCATATTTGTATGTTTAAATAAAACGCGGTTATTGACCTATATTTTAACGGACAAACGTGCCGTTAATATATGACGCAGTAAATAACCGGGCTATACATCTTATGATGCTCAATTGTTTTTTCACATATTATGGTTCATTCAAAAAAACCAACTTTGGTTCCGAACTTCTTCCATTTGCTGATTAAATTTGGGTGAGCTTTAAGTAATACGGTGTCTGTTTGTCCATCTTTAGTCAATTAGTAGCAATTAGGGTAAACTCATTATCCTTTAGGTTCATATAATAACATCATTATCTAGTCACTTTTAATTGTCTAATCGTCTTAAAGCTTTAATTTACTGTTCCCTATGTTGTGTAGCAGCCGAATAAAGCAATTTTAGATTATGTCACATCAATTAAACATAAAAAATTTTAGTGCTTTTTGCAAAGAGTTACACGTTAGGCCCTTTTTTTGGCACAGCTGGTGATTTTACTAGCTAGGTATTTTTACCTTCTCTCCTTTAGGTTTCTTTTCCTTTTAAACAAAATATACTTTAGTATAAAGGTGAAAACAACTAAAAAGTACTTCTTTGGAAAATTTGGTTCCACTTTATTTTATTAATAATGGATCACGTAAAGCTTTTATCTTGGGTAAGAGAAAGGGGAAAGAAAGGTGGTAAGTAGAAACTAGAAAGATTCACCTCCACGTGTCGCCAAGGACGAATGTAGCGTTGAATAGACGGGTTCAATTGATTAAACCCATAGCTTTTAACGAGTAATAAAAATTTATATATAAAAATTTATTAAAATTATAAAAATAGTAGATATGAACTCATAACTTTAAAAATATAATGAGTTCAATGATTAATGAACTCATAACTCTGCCGGTGTCGCTTAATGATTAATGAACTGAATGAAAATCATAAAAAATCATCATTTAAATTCCAATAAAAATAAACGTACATGATTTTTCATATGCTTAATGATTAAGATAGAGTTATTTGATACATGTACGCAAGAGGCGGAGCTAGGGTGGCAAAAGGGGTTCAGTCGAACCTCCTTTGTCGAAAATTATATTGTATATATTATGCCGAATTAATATTTTTATGCATAAATAGTAGATGTTGAATCCTCTTGACTTATTCGTGTGTTTACTTTTTAATATTTCGAATTCCCTTAGTAAAAGTTCTTGCTCCGCCATTGCATATACTTGTCAGAAATAGCTAGTACCCAATAAAATAATTACAATACATGCCAAATGACCCGAACACCATTAATGTTATTAATAAAACCAATAAACCAAATAAATAGTACTTTGAAAATATTATTGATAATGTCCCTTCTGTAGAATTAGAGGCTGGTATTAGCCAAGCTTAAATATCATATATATAGTAAAACTTTGTTATCATTAGTTTAGTGCCATTTCTTTTCATGGAGTTTGCACTACAAAGTTACAAGCATGTTTCTAATGTTATTTTCTACTTTGCAATCATGAAATTTTAGTGGACTAAGAACCAGAACCATTTCCTATTTTTAATGAATCTGGACTTTATATTATATCGTACTTAAACCTTTATTCTTCATGTCCCTTTTAATCCTCTTTTGGCATTGGTAAAGGGATTCTTTTGTAGTCCATAAAGCAAGACAATCTTTAGTGTAAATAAGAGATGAAAAAGAAAGATTTTGTCAATGATTTTATTCTGCTAAGTGACAAAAAAATTGTCAGAATATTTTCTTAATATAAGTTTATCTTTTTCCAGATTAACTTCAAGTGTCCCAATACATGTTCTTTCTTCTTCTGCGTATAATACAAACTTCAATAAAATATTAATGAGTAGGGTTCATTTAACCACATAAACTTCTCCAATGAATTCCTAATTAGAAATAGGGGATTTTCTTTAATTTTTTCTTTTATCGTAATGTGATAGTTTACATACTTAAATGGTCCTATTCGAGAACAATATTCCGTATACATTAAACTAAATTATTTAATCATGGTTACAAGATATATTAAGGTAAAAATTATTAAATTATTTAATCATGATTAAGTGAAAGAGGAATGTAAAAAAACACATATCGTGTATTCGTTAATATGGTGTAAACATTAGTGGCGAATCTCCTTAGTTATGTAGTTTCCTTTATTTGTGTAGATATTTTTGTACTGTTATTTTATTCTTTTATTTGTGCAGATTTTGGTGTATCTTTAGTTTGTCAATTACAGCTCATTATCCTATAATTTAGGAGTAATTCTTGATCCATCCTTTATATTTAAAGAGCTTTGTACATCATGAATAAATGAACGAGCCTTCATACTCTTCGTATAAATTTTTTATGTACGGTTATTTCGAGGTTATTTTAGTTGAATATCATGGAAATTTACCTGTTCAACTCTTTTAAGAGCAATAAGATTATGAGTTTTCAGTTTTCAGACTTTAATTACCAAGATGCTCCTTAAAGTTCAATAAAGGAAAAGAAGCAAAAATGTGATGGTAGGCCAAATGAAGATTGAAGATGAGTATTAGGGTTAATTAATTTATTCATTTTGGAGATCAATATTGAATATAATAGAAAATGGTACTCTTGGTCCTCCATACTTGATAAAAGGATCTAGATTCCATACTATGTTTTGGGCTGGGGAGAAAGTTACTCTCCCAAGCTGGATCGAACCAGAGGCGGAGTCAGAATTTCCACCTTATGGGTTCTAGATTTTGGGATCAAAAGTGTTAATAGCTGGGTTCTAAATTTAATATTTATACATATTTTATGAATTCAAATTATCAAATATAGTGTTTAAGCAAAAACTATTGGGTTCGTCCGAACCGTAGGCTGACTTGTGCCTCCGCCCCTGAATCGAACCAAAGGCGGAGTCAGAATTTCAAACTTATGAGTTCTGGATTTTGGGACCACAACTTCAAGTGTTACTAACTGTGTTCTAGATTTAATATTTATACATATTTCATGAATTCAAATTAACAAATATATTGTTTAAGCAAAAGCTATTGGGTTCGGTCGAACCCGTAGGCTGGCTTGTGCCTCCGCCCTGGATCGAACCAATACTAGAAAGAGAACTGAAAGGGCCTTCAAAAAAAGTGCGAGGAAGTGATAGGCAACCTTAGTCTATATGTTGCTTGTGAACTGCCAAATACCTGTCTCGCAACAATACTGGCGCAAAAGCCGTCCTTCACTTGCTGCTTGTTCGCAAGTCGAACTCGCTCTCTTGCCATGCCTTATACTCACTCACTTGAGTCGGACTCAATCACTCTTTTAGTTTGAGAATCATTCATTATTCACTCTTTTTTAATATATATAATCATCGATGTTAAATTTACTTCGGTTGAAGCCGTAGTTAATAAGCTACATCCGCCACGAGCCACGAATCCATATTAGTTGGGTCGATATAGAAAAAATTGGATGCCTTAAACAACGATAGGTAATTGCAGAAGAACACTATTTTCCATAGATAAACAGAACTGTCATTACAGGATATGTTTGGGCTTTCTGATACACAGCTCAGTGCCAGAATCCAACTGAAATAATGGATAAAAAGAGAATTTGCTAAAATTCTGAATCAGAAATCTTAACAAACTCCTAATACTAAATATTGAATACTTAACTAGATTTGCTGGATTAGATGTACTCCAATTCACTAGTTATTTTAGTACATAATCATAATAGATTTATGTTAAACTCAAATGTAATTTTCTCTATTTAATGAAGCAATTTCTTCAAGAGTAGAACTCATAGGTGGAAGAATCAGCAACAATATTTCTCAATCCACCAATTGTGGAAGCTATCATAATGAAAACTCCAATGAATATGCATGCCTGAAATTATAAAATTACCACAACATATTAGTAAAACTCTAGATGAAACCAAAAAAATTCAGAAGAAAAAGAGTTTGAAAATAATTCAAAGGTTCATTTCTAATAGATTCGAGTTTAACTTTTAGACAATGACAATCTAAATGAATTTTTGCACTTATCACTGTAAAAGAATGTTTACACTATGAGTGTAATTAACCTACTGGTAACAAGTAACTTGTCTTATTTTCCTGGTTACTAATCCGACTTTCTATGTACGGTAACTGTAATTTTCTTTTAGGTGGTTTAATACTATCAAAATTCTTTTACAATGCCCATGATCGTAGTAAAACTCAAGATAATTACCGGTAACAGATCATAATATGTAATGTGTGAGACTAGTAACTTGTAAAATAAGACAAGTTACCTGCTATAACATGTTAAAAAATACTACTACGAATATAAATTTTTTTACACTATCAGTATACATAAGTTGAATCTTATTGATTCACTCCGACATATAATTGAGAAATTTTGAACTTACCCAATTTATCAACCATGACATGCTGAATCTCCTTGGTTTCTTGATCTTAAGCCACATTATGCAGGGGAGCTGCAGCAAGTATTAGAAACCAATACATGTTTGATTTTCATAGTTCATTTAAAAGGAAAAAAAAGGAAAAGCAAAGAATATGAAACTTATGACTTACAAAATAAGAAGTAGGAGCAAAACCAAATCCTCCAAAGAAACCAAGAAGATCACCAAAGAAAGGGAATGTTACACCAAGAAACAAAGTGAAAGCTGCAACATTAAATAAGACACTGGTTTTTCAGCTAATGACATAGTATAGTGAAACGAAGGGCCGATAATCAGTTCGGTACACAAAGCATCCTGCATTCACGCATGGTCCGAGGAAGGCTGCACCCCAAGGGTGTGATCTAAATAGCCTACTCTAATATAAACATTAGTGGTTGCTTCCACAGCTCGAACCCGTGACCTATAGGTTACTGTTCCAAGGCTCCCCTTCAGGGCTAAGAAACCGTCTAAATAACGATATACATTCTATTTTGATTGTCTTATTTGGTTTTCATGCGCGATTCGAAATTTTGTGACGACAGGAGAGGAATAACAACAAAGAAGAATTAACCTAAATAACTGCTCATCCAGCCGCTTAAAATAAGAATAGCCAGCGGATGTATAATATATGTATAATTTATTATATAATCTATGTATACCAGCTAAGAAAAGTAAATAGTACATCCGACGACTATTTGTGTAAAGATCTCTAACAAAGATACTCACCAACATATGCAGTACGAACGAAGAAGCGCAGCATTATTCCAGGTGGGAAATTCCAGGTTTTCACCATTTTTTGCTCCATCAAATCAAACACTGGCATAGCATAAACCTGCAACAATCATCATTCTTGTTACTTCTAGCTAACGCTCATTGCACGACTAGTGCAAAAATACATAACGAGACGAGCTTCATTGGCTCGTGCATTTGAGGATTTTGTTGCAAATTAAGTACCTGATAGCTGCCTATGACATGAACAACCACCATTAAGTTAGCAGCTGCAATAAGCCAAGATGGCCTTTCAAGTCCCACGAGCACGTTGTCATCGACATCTTGGCCAAATGCCCAATACCCGATGAAAGCAACGGGGAAATAGCACAGGGCATTGACAAAATAGGCCCATACGGCGCCTTTCCACATTGGAACTTTCGAGGGCTTCTCAGGTGTCGATGGAATAGTGGCTTGTATCTCAAGGACAACAGCATGACCAGCATAAGCAAAGGAAACTTGACCTAACGCGTTAAAGACGCGAAACATAGAATCAGCTGGACTTGTTTTCTTGTACGCGTAGCTCACGTTCGGGACTCTGCCTTTGCCTACACAACCTACCCATGCTATAGTTGAATAGCTGCACACACAATAATCAATCCCAATTGAATTTGTGAGGATCAGTTTTGAGATGAAGGTTTGTTATATCTAATACATAAGAAACATAATAATAAGCAGAAGATATTCTCATACCATGATTTTTCAACTTCTTTTGTATCAAAAGGTAGATAAAAGTAGTATGCCAAAAAAGTTAGTGCAGGACTACTGTCTAACTAGTTGTTCAGTTTATAATACTCATTAGCATGTATCATTTTCTTGATATTTCTTCAAAAAGCTCTCTTTGTCCCAATCTAACTTGTATCACACATTATTGTTGAGTACAAGCAAATTTCTAAAGAAAAAAGCAACAACATGAGCCACATGTACCTTTTGTATGTGGTTTCAATACAAAAGTAGATGAAGCCTTTCTCAATGCATTCAACACAACTAAGTATTTTCTGACACGTAACATAAATATATGTGAAAAGTTATTAAAATTTCAGCAAATATTAAATTTTGAACTCATAATTTCAAAAAGTGTGTTGAATTCTAGATCCGCAAAAAGGGCAGCCCAGGTGCACAAAGCATCCCGCATTCATACAGGATCTGAGGAAGAATCTCACCCCAAAGGCCAATTTTGAAGTCTGAATCAAGAAAATTATTTGGAAGGTATTATGATAAGAGTACCTCAGTGACATGACTGCAGCTGCTAATGAAACACCAGAAACAGAATTGAAATTGGGAAGCTGTGATAGAAAGAAATGGATTGCACCAAATATGCAAATCCAATAGGATTGCCTTATTGTGGTGCAATTTGTGCAAGCTATTTCCATGAACTTCTTCAGACACTTTCCTCCAGTAACCATGTACACAATGTCACAACCAACTTGGACAATTAGTTGTTGTGGAAGTACTATCCATGCCCCAAGTTTTGGTCCAAAGGCATGTTTACCAAGATCCTTGTACCGATCGAAACGAACTCCGGGAACACATTCATGGAGTTGTATCATTTGCCACATTGTGTGTAAGGTTATACACCATGATAAGATCATAACTACCGTCCCTGGACCCCTGATAGACAAAGACAACTTTACTTCAACCACAGTAAATAAATCCGTTGAAGACATAATTAGATAATAAAAGTGTGCTCTCTCTAACAGTTTAAGTTTTTTAAAATGAGTCGATCGCACAATTTCTACATGGTATCAGAGCAGACAAAGGAGTCCATTAAAAGAATCTAACCAACACGTAAGAAAGCATGTTGAAGACACAATAAGTATAAACGTGTGCTTTCTCACGACTTAAGCTTTTAGACGAGATTATCACACAATTCAAATAAATAGAACAATTTATTAGGATCAATCCATCAAGAAGATTATATTTACATACCATCCTAAGTAGGCCATGGCATAAGGCAAGCTGAGAACACCAGCACCAACCATCGCAGTAACTGTGTGAAAAGTTGAGTACCACCATTTCGCTTCGCGAGGAGGACCATCTTCTGCCCATTTCTCATCTGAAGGAACTTCCTGCAAAATCATGAAACAAAAACACAATTCCATTCAAGAAACAAGCTTGTAATTTCAAGATTAAGGGCAGCCCGGTGCACGCCCGGTGCTCTAAGCTCCCGCTATGCGCATGCTCCCGGGAAGAGCCGGAACACAAGGGTCTATCGTACATAGTCTTACCCTGCATTTCTGCAAGAGGTTGTTTTCCGGCTCGAACCAGGTAACGTGGAAGCAACTTTAACAGTTATGTAAAGACTCCCCTTCTAGTAATTTCAAGATTATTTACTTAAAACAAGCATAGGGATAGCAAAGCTCACCTTTGGAGCTGGTGGAGGAGAAGATGAAACCATGTTTGCAAATCAAAGAAACAAAGACAAAGCATGTGCAAGTTCTTGAGCTACAAGAGCATGTATTTGTACTAGTACTTGCCACTAATATTTGAGTGGAATAAAGGTTAAAGAAGTCATTTTTGCTGCTTTTCCTATTAGTAATATGTAATTGACCAAAAAGTGTAAAATATGTGCTTGGTTTTAAAATGGATAAATTTAAATAAATTTTTATTTTCAATTTTAAGTTTGCCTTTCTTAATAATCCTTGGAAAATGGCTTTGGTAAAAACGCCATTTTGTTATTTAACTTGTTTTATGGATTGTGATCCAACACGGATGTGGTATTATTCAAAGATTTTGGTATTAAATTATACCGAAATTACCTATACTGAAAATAATCATGCAACCAGATTAATTCTTATAAAATGGAATTTTTACACAAATAGCCGGCTGGATTCATGCTTTATGTTTTCTAGCAGGTATACACAGATTATCCAATACTTATACATATATTATTCATGAATTATACATTCGTTGGCTATTTTAAATTTAAGCGTTTGAGTGGACGGTTATTTAGGTTAATTCTTATAAAATAAATAATACATCACCAAATTTATATCGGGATTGTTTCCAAAATTCCAGTTTCCAAACGACTGAAAGAGTACTCACAGTGTAAAGTTTTCTTTTATATTTTGATTTCCTAAAAGAAAATTATAGCTAAATTGTTCATAAAAACTTAAAGTAATAACCTGAAAAATAAGACATGTTATCTATTATAATACATTAAAGGCGTAGAACCAAAAATTCTTTATATTATCAGTATATATGTAAGTTAAATTTATAAAGAAAATGTCACGAGATGGTACAACATTCAAGTTTTATGTACCTAATATTAGTCACACTACCAACTACTACAAAAGGAGGAAAAGTTCTTTTCCAAACAGCATCTGCAATGTGAGCCAATAAATCACTCTTTTCCTTCTTTAGGGGTGGGGTATTGCCTTGATAAGTTGATCAAAGGGCTATATCTTTCTTTAATTAGGAGCTCAATTAATTGAAGGTCAAGTTTCTTAAACCCCCTTTAATTTTCTTTTTTATGCAAAAGAAACTATAAAGTTACATAGTCATTTTCATGTAAAGACTTAAAGTGGGGAATTTCAAAAATTTCAGGACTTGACTAATGATGAAAATTTTAATTGGTAGTTGGTTTGTGCCTATCTTGGCATCATTATAATAGTTAGCTTTATTGATAGGCAACTTTACCACATAATTATAAAAGAGAAGAAGATGTATGTTCATTAAAGGATGTGACATTTTTTTTTTATCTTTACACAAATAACCGGCCAGATTCACCAGAAATTATATATGGTTATACATTTATTATACATGAATTATATATATATATATTATATATCTGTCAGCTATTTTTATTTCAAGTATTTGGGCGGAGGCTATTTAGTTAATTCTTCCATTTTTTTAGGAAGTGTTCCACTTAGCCAGGGATCTACAATCACGATTGAGGAAAATGTAGGAGGTTAATATGACTATAAATTATTAGTGTATGTAAAGTATATGTTCAACCACGAGCGCCACACTAGCAAAAAGAAAGAAGGAAAAGGCAAAGAACTTGCCACTATTAGAGGCTAGGAAAGCAAACATAATAATAATAAATAGTAATAATTAGTATAATAATTATAATATAAAAATCTCCACCATATCAATATCCTTAGACAAAATTAGAAGAGAATAAAACAGATATACAAAAGGAAAAGGAATAAAGGGGATTCTTATGTAAAAAAAAATTGACAGATCATAAGAAAGAAAAAACCATTGCTCACAAATTTTAAAAGTCATTTCAGACATGCATAACAAGTATTAAGAACCACCAAAAAGATCAATCACACGTAAAGCATGTTACGTGTTCAAGCCGGGTGAAGTCACTAATACTTGCATTAGGGTAGACTGTCTATCAGTGATGAAGTCACATGGTCATAACCATTCGTCGAAAAATTGCACTGTATACATAGGTAAAATATTACGTTTTAGAGATATATAACACATACTGACCACCCGTTATCGGGAAATTTTTTCACCGCTTTTAAATTTGAACACCCTTGGAAAAGTCCTAACTTCGCCAATGCTGTCTACATCACACCCCGCGGGTGCGGGTGCAGCCCTTCCCGTACCCTGTATGAATACGGGATGCCTTATGCATCCGGCTGCCCTCGGTGACAGTGGTGAAACCGAAATTCATACGATGAGATTCCAAAGAAAACTAAAGTGTCACATCTAATATATAACCAAAAAATTCATTTTTCCATATTTGTGTAGTACGATTTTCCGTGGGGGTTCAAATTGAACCCCCTTGTCTCCCTATAGCTCCGTCTCCGACTGGTGGGACGTAGCGGGTACTTGTAAAAAACGAAAGTACGTGCAAGTCGGCCCAAATGTTATTTAACAGAAAAAGAAAAGGAAGAAGGATAATAGTAACAACCTTTGGCAATGGCAGATGGTTTTCTGGAGAAGGTGAGCCCATTGCAGTAGAAGATAAAGAGTAAATATCTTCAACTGAATTTTCTTCAGCTTTTCTCAGGACCCTCTCTCTTTTTTCTTTGTCATAACTCACAGATTTATTATGATGCTCTTGTTCCAATGAGGTGTCAAACTCCAGTGTATTGAAAGTTGGTAGTATTAACTCACATCCTTTAATATTTAATGCTAGTGTCATCCAACAGAAACTAACTGAAATGTGTCATCACCAAACAGGATATTTGAGGGGTCAACTTTTAACTAATAACAACTCACTGTTTTAAACACTAAACTCCAGACAACATTAAGAGTGAAACAAGATAGTAATGACTATTGAATGGAATTTGGGTCTAGAGAAATGTAATTATTGTCCATAAAAGCTGCACTATGACATCCCGATGCATTCAAGCAGGGTTCGGGGAAGAGTCGCACCCTAAAGGGTGTAATGTAGGCAGCGTACCATGATACAAGTATCAATGGCTAAATCCACGGCTCGAACCGGTGACCTATAGGTCATACGGAGACAACTTTACCGTTGCTCTAAGGCTCCCTTCCTTCATTTCAATTAATCATTTCCTCTTTTTTTTTGGTATAAGAATCCAACATATGAAAGGATTAACTTTGTGAGTTGGCTTTATAAGAAAGGTGGGGCATTTACATTCATCATGTTCGATGTTGTTACTATTTCACATTAGCACTTTCTGTATTTCACATTCAAATCCTAGTGACTCGTCGACTTCTGAATTTAGTTGTTCTAACTAAAGGGTTTGTTATTGGTGTCATGAGAAATACACCCTTACATGTCACTTGGTTGCTAGTTAGGAAGTGAGTTATTCACGTACTAAAACATGTATAGCTAATACCATATTTGGTAGCTTTTTAGTTGTTTTGTATAAAATTCAGCACACCAAGTGATTGTTTGGTTATCCTTTTACAATCCCACGTAAATAAAACAAGTATAAGCTATGAGTCAATTTAAGCAATATTTTATGAGGGGCAGAAGATGAAATAATTAAAGACTTCATAACTAATCCATGTATTATTACGACCTACATAATTTCAACCATGAACTAAGGTGGCAAGTGGGCTAGGACCGGCCCAAGACCGCGGGCTAAGTGGGCTAAACAGACTAGGACCGTATGTCATGCTAGAGGTGGGCTCGTGCTGATCTCGTGGGCCGGTTCTTAGCTAGGAACCGTTAGTACCGGGCCCGTTGGCATGCCAAGAGACCAGGCCCGAACCGGTTCCTTGACATGCCAATCAAGCCCAACGGAAAAAAAATTAAAAAAAGGAGATGATTGGCTTTTGAAAAATGTAGCCGTTGGGTGTTTAAAAAATAACCGTTGGGTATTTAAAAAATAGTCATTTAACCACCAACGGAACTTCCTCCGAACCTTGAAGGATTTATGAAGTTTGTAAGAGATATCGTGTAACTTGTATGAAAGAAATCTCATTGATAAAGTGAGCGGAAGAATTGTTGGAAAGAGACAATGCCACAAGAATATCCACCGGAAAGAGGTGCAGTACCACAGGAACTGTCACGAGAAACGGTCACCACAAGTTATCTAGAGGGAAATCTATGATCTCAAAATAATTTGAGGTTGAAGGTGAAATACAACAAATGAAACTTTGACAAGCCCTCAAGGTGAAGGTTTGGATTTGGGGTGGAAGAATAATGATCACATTGGGCAACCAATTACTTTCCACACTGAAGCTAATTAGTTTTAAATGCTCTCGATTTTGGAAGTATCCTTCTACATGAAAAATGAGTTCAAAATTCGATAGCTAAGAAGTAGGAATTTCAGCTGCTTTACGCTGATTGCAATTTCTACAACAGCTCATTGTCTAATTCATTGCCATGTTCAATTCATAAAGCCTCCTCAGGGCATGTTTGGCAGTCCTCGTGAAGAAGCTTGTCCCTGAGACATAAGTTGTGCCCGTCTAGTACCTCCGGTTGATGCTTGATTCAAACATGTCCCAATTATTGGTTGCTGCTGCTCTGTTTGCTGCATTTGCGGTATCTGCTGTTGCTGCTGTATTTGTGGAGTCTGTTGTCGATGTAATTTGGGAATCTTTGGCTGTTGCTGCAGAGGAATGTTAGGTTTTCGCTTTAGTGGCATCAGACGCTGTTGTTGCTGCAGCTGTTGAAGGGGTTGCTGCTGCTGTAATAGGGGAAGCGATTGTTGCAGCAGCAGTTGCTCTAGCCGCGGATGTTGTGCTTCCAGCTGCTGACTGGGTATCTGTGGCTTAAATACCACCATATTCTGAAAAATTCGAATGTTTACATTTGAGAGATCATAAAAAACACAGCTGCATCTAAATGATCGTCTAATAGGTGTTGCTAAGAATGTCAAAGATTATCTTACCTCAGGAAACAACATTCCAATTAAGCGGCAAGTTTTATCAGAAACAGAGAGAATCATTGTCTGTGATGATAGTTGAATTACTGCACACTAAACAGTTTACAGAGAAATTGTTAGCTGCGCAGACCTTTTTAGATCGAGAAAGCTGCACAGGAATTCCTTATCAAGTACAGCATATATTATACATAAACACCAGTCCCTCGAAACATCCACCATGATCGCCTACCCTCTCATCAAAGGAAATATGGTAAAGAGCAGAGTTGCACAATATTTTCAGTAGATAGTTCAGAAACAGCATCCAAATGCACATGTTGGGAAATTAAGTTCAAATTCCCACCGAAAAATACCAGAGAAATGCCATTAGACCATGAAAATTTCAATAGCCAGTGAATTCAAATGCATACATTGTAAAGTACAATTGCCTCAGGGTAAAGTACATTGAATTCACTCACTATTGAAATTTTCAAATTTGGGGTCCACATTGGATAAACCAAGAATTGAGATGGGTCTGCTCTGACACCATATAAAGAAAATGAATCTTGGGTCTAACTCAACCCAAAATTTAACTCATGAGGTGAGAATTGTCCAAAATATATAAGGAGAAAACAAGTAATTCCCTCAACCAATATGTGACACTCTAACAATAAAGATAGAAACACAATGATAAAACCTGAAACACTATACATGTGTGGTACAAGAGTGTACCAACTTCACGTGATGTGGTAGTGCATAAAGATATTCTAGTCCGCTACATAAGAACATCAATTGGCCTAAAAACCTCGAATCAATTCTAAAAAGCCTCTTAAGTGGTTTATAGGTTTACTTTATGCACACAACTCTATTACAAGGATGCAAATCCACATCTTTTTGATAATCTAATAATGCTTTCTGGAAGTTATACCATACAGCATCTTAGAGTAAGACTACCTGCTTCAGATCATTCACCATGAACAGGAATATCACATCTTTGCCATGTATGAGTGCTATTAATATGACCGTTACACAGAGATGACATAATTCATAGTAGGAGCCTTAAACTTAACACTAACTTCGTACTGACAAATATTCTAGCAAAGTGAATTATAACTGAACTCTGATTGTTCTCTACTTGCAGAAAAGAAAGCAATCTTTAGACTCAAGAACACTTACAAACTTCTTTTCCTGCAGCTGGCCGAGAAATACATGCTGGTCCATTGCCCAAAAAACTACAATTTCTGCCTTTCCGATGAGCCGTCTAACACTTGCATAAATGTCACAAAATTTTAGTAGCTGTTTGTACTTTATATGACTGGACAAGAATCAATATCTGACAAATGAAGAAGATCCAACAAGATCAAAAATATTTTTGGCTCAGAAGAGTTACTCATTATTCAAATGCTCCTGCGTAATAAGGCGATCAATTTGCATTGTTTGGGGCCAATTTGCAGCAAGCCTGATCAAACAAAAATATCAGTTCGAAGTGTTAATGCAGTATAATACTTTGAAAGATTTAAGGTGCAATTAAGGCATAGCCATAGACAAAGAGGAAGAAAAAGGTGAATTTCCTTATAAGCCAAGAAAATTAAGCTTATCTAGTTGACATGACGGAATCAGTTATATGGACCTTGGGCCTAACTCAACCCCAAAAGCTAGCTCAAGAGGTGAGGATTGCCCAAGCCATATTAAAGAGACCGCTTATCCCTTAAATCACCGATGTGGGACTTCTTCACACACACACCCCTCACGCTCAGGGCTGGATATCTGGAACGTGGGTAACATAATACGGGGACCCAACATCGGGTTGGAATGGGTCCTGCTCTGATATCATGTTAAATGGACCTAACTCAACTCCAAAATCTAACTCAAGAGGTGAGGATTTCTCAAGCCATATTAAAGAGACTACTCATCCCTTAAACCACCGATTTGAGACGTCTTCACAGAATCCATACAGACTTGACAAAAAATACGGCACAATAGAAGAAAAAGATCTATATAGGCGATACCAGTTAGTTGGAAATATGTATTAGTCATATTAGTACGTTTACTTTAGGTCCTATGCTTTCTAGGAGTCCTTTAGTCATGAAAAAGATTTATATACCAGTAGAAAATGTAGAGAACTACAATTACTTTTTATTTCTATTTTTATTTTTGTATAATATTAGCCTGAGATGAGTTTAAATGGAGCGACATGGTCATATAGCAAATAGAGTGTGGGATTAATGTGTATATAGTTGACATCATCTGCTACAGCTACATAAAAGAGAAGCAATAATGAGATCATCTTAAGAGTAGTCTTTCCTGCAACTAAGCTGCAGAAATAGAACTTTACAGAAAATAGTTTATCATCTTGAAACCCGTGTTATTTGAAAGATTTTCAACAGTTTATTTCAGATAAAGCCTCTAACTGAAAAATAAAGTATCAGGGACCTTTCACGCATTAGTAAGCTGCAAAGCAAATATAATGCAGGTTGGAGAATATAAAGATTTCAGTAAAAGGAACAAGTCAGACGCTTAAAGATTTCAGTAAAAAGAATAGTTCACAAGCTTTGCGACTGATGATGCTAGAAAAAGATGAGAAAACTAGTATATCTGCCACATTCATATTCCTTTAGACAGTTAAAGATCGGTACTCGCTTTCATCTTTTCATCTAACCCCAAGAGGATCTCCAGGAAGGTGTGTATCAAGCAACTCCCTTTTCTAGGTTGCTTGCCTTTTCTCTGTTGCTCTACCTTCACTTTGACCAATAATTCTATAATGCATTAGGCCACTACTTCTAAAAGTTTCTGACAATATCATATCTTCTCATACTTGATACACACCTTTTGGAATAGTTGAAGTTGTGTATTGGAGTCAGACTCTTGCAGGACAGATGCAGTGAACATGCCTTGAACGCATAGCTGACACGTTTTTATTTCCCATAATCTTTGAGTTTTAGACACCGTCCTACATTTTGGACATGAGTGCCTTATATGTCGACACCATGTTTTGTCTACTGCCATATACTGGTTCAAGTTTTCTTCTTCTTCGTCTTCCTCTTTCTCTCCCTCTTCCCCTTCACTACTTTATCCCCCGGTTCAAATTGGCCTACAGCAGTGCTTTTCTGAGTTCAGGTTTTCTTGTTTGTTGCTTCACGCTGCGTCCCTCAGCTTTTGGAAATTTTTCCTCCACATTAGAACTACTTAGCGCACCTTATCCCCATAATTTTAAGAACTTTGTATCTTTTTCTCGTACCACTCTTCCAATTTGATGCCTTTTCCTATCCATGCTACACAATACCATGTTTTTTATTATCTCATTTATTTGGATTCACATTTTTCCCAGAGGATACTATTGTGGTCTTCAGCTTTTAAAATACGCTAGGATGTATGCATGGTGTAATAAAGATCTGAGTTAGAAATAAAAATTAAAATGTGTCCATAATAAATATGCAGAGGGACATATAAACTTTCTCCATTTCATTCCTAAAAGAGGAAACTAGATGAGCTCCAGTATAAGAATTTTGTGAAGGATCACCAGACTAAGGTCACCCATCTCTCTCCAAGTTAGCAAGTTCTTGAAACTTAACAATGAGGTCTTTAGTCTTTTCACTGATCTTCAATTTGCTGCTGTTGCAAGAACTTGAAAGGTTAAGTGCATCACAAAAATGAAATTATTTTTGAGTCCTAAACATCAGTTCATTAGGCTTAAGATATAAATGTTGTAACGTGTAAGTATCTTGGAGTAAGTATCTTGAGCGCTGAAAATAGTGGTAGTGTGCTAAAACCATCTAACCTTGAGAAACAATGATATACTCTCCTATGCATGCAGAGAGAGAATTTAGTAGCTTCACTCAACAGAGGGGTAACTACCACTGTGATCAACTTGAATTGCAAAAGAGCAGTTAAATCAAAGCATTAATGAAAATGTACTTACAATTTAGAAGCTGAAGCAATCCTGAATCCCTGCCACAAGAGAAAATAAACCGCAAGATCTTACTCAATCAGCAAAGAATCAAATATCATTTTAGAGCATTTAAAAGGAATTACAATTTTTTTTTGATAACTGACAAATTCCCAAGGGCCATTGGCACACCGTTCGAAACTTGGTACGTAATAGGCCGTCCTCTATACCTTCTACCCTTAAATACAAAGGTTTTGTCCACGACAAGGGTTCGACCACGTGACGTGCGTCTAATCCACACATAACACATTGCGCTCTTACCGTTTGGGGGGGGGTGGGGGTGGTGGTTAGGAATTACAAAATACTTCAACAGACTAATTTATCTATCGAATGAAAATTGGAGCACCATCCCTTGGCCACTATCACCTGATAATGAAACTATTAAAAGGACCTAATTTATGATAACAAGTTCCCACACAAGACAAGTTAAAAACACACACCTGTAGTCTGGTAATAAGTACAGGTTCGCCTTGTCTCTGCCCCGATAAGTCTCCCTGCAACATTTTTATCATAATGTTAGCAGTGCTTCATCAATATAATCTCAAAATGCAGCTGCATGTAGTTAATTTCTAAGGAAAATGATTGGAAAAATGGAACCCTGTGGATGACTAAAATGGTTTACCAAAATAATTAAGTTCATTTTAAAAACTTAAACAGAAAAATAGAACTGTATGTACCGACAATAAGGACCCCATTTATCAACATAGTCAATAACTTGAATGCATGCAATTCATAAGGAAATCACCACACTAAACACATTCGGATGTTCATATTAGTGTTTTGACAACCCCAAAGTTCTACTCCATTGGTTCTTTACCAGGCCTTGTTACATTTTCTTGGGAAAAAATTGCAGAAATGGGTTTATTTACCTATTGCATCACAAATAGCTTTTTCTCCCTAACAAAGGGTCACAAAATAGTTAACTCACAAAACTTTGGTTTTGGTTCAAGTAAATAAAATTGCAGAAACATCATATTTCAGTACTCTTCCAAATTGTCAAGGAAGATTAGAATAAAAGTAGAAGAGCAAAGAAAGCACCATATTTTAATAGAAAAAGTGAGACACTTAGCTGACGTCTCACTATTGCCCTTCTCATCTAAATGCATTATCTCTGGTTTAACATAGAAAAAATATGGATTGAAGTGGTAAAAGCCTATTAATCATGTTCTGCTCACAATACTTCAACCTGCTCCACCTTACCATCTTAAGATGTCATGTTAACTACTTTGTTTTGAGTGTCATCTGATAAAGTATATGAAAAATTCAATACTCATATTTTATGAGAAAAATTCAGTAGTCATCCAGTAGATTTAAGCTTAGGCATCATTCAACATTCTAATCTTGCAACTATATGTTATAACAAGTACTCATCTAGTCAGTTCATCTTTAAATATTGTTCATTATTTTACCCCATGGATTTGGAAGCATAATATTACATTTTGCATGTCAAACCCCTTCCCTCCCTCTCGGTGTGCCATCCTCTGATTTCTCAGTTTCAGTTTTCTGCTAGCTTATACTATTCATATTCCTAATATAAACTTTCTGACACGAGTCACCAAAGAAAGCAACAAAATGACTAAGAACTGGAACACATTACTGAATTTAGTTGAACTCGGACACATTTCAAATTAGTTTAATTTCTTTACTAGATTTTAGACTCACACTAAAACATCAATTCACACTTTACAAGCACAATTTCTCCAGATATTGATGGATGAACACGAATGTGATATGTGCACAACAGGTATCTAGAATATGGAGCAAGAAATTTGCAGTCGATTGCAACCTTCAAAGTGATTTCAGAAAGCTCCTTAAAAGGATTCCTTCAGTGGCCATCATACATATGTGCAGTAAACAACAAAACTCTACCACCATGCAAGTCTTTCGGCTTATAGAACTTAGTCGGTACACTACAATGATGACATGGTTACACCAAATAACAGACATAGCCTAATTCATATGTTTGTCTAATCACCGCGAGAAGAAAAAATGACCACAAGATTGTACTTTAGGAGCAACCAATGTAGAATTGTCAGAAAAAATTGTAGGGCTAATCAATCTATGGATCAGACACTTCTTAACTCTTAAATCAAGGTATCAACTGACAGCACAAAAACTTCAAGACATCTTTTTTTGATAATGTAGTACAAAAACTTCAAGCACAAAAACTCTTTAAAATTGTTCAAATTTAAATCCTATTTATCTGTCGTGTAGACAGTGAAAAACTTTAATAGAGATTTTCTTATGGAACATAGAGTCTGCCTTCCATCTTCAGCTCTTTCTACTTATTAGTTGGCCTTACCTCCCAGACTTTGACGTAGTTTGATTGAGCTGATGACAATGTAGCAGATGTTTGCTGCTGAGACAGAGGCATGTTAGCTTCTGTACTGTTATTCCTGCTAAGAGGCTGCATTCCAGGGTGTCCTTGTTGAGTCATCCTTGGAGTAGACATCAGTGTGCCTTGTCCAAAAGGCATACCAGCACCCGTTCCACTCAGCACATTCTGGTGCATGCCTGCACTAACACCTCCTTGGATATTACTCAAAAGTTGGGACACGCAAAGGTTTGAATTTCCAGACATACTGGGAGCGATCGAAACGGATGATGCAGAAACAGAGTTTTGAGCTATCTGACCAGTTCCTGCTAATGGCACTAACCCAGACATTGAAGTGACAGCTAGTTGCCCAGATGATAAAACAGTTGGAGCAGCAGGTATAGAAGAAGATATTCCACCAGACATCATGTTTGATAGAATAGGTGTCTCACCCATAGACTGCAGTCCTATAGAAGTTCCCCCAACAAGTGCCTGGGCTTGAGCAACATCATTCAGTATTCTGGCATTTGCAGCTGCGCCACTAAATGAATGTAAGGGTTGTGTCATCCCACTGAGAATAGGTTTTGTTTCATTAACAATCTCATTATTTGGGACCACCTCCTCAGAAACAGAAATAGGTGAAGCACTTTGCAAGCTTGCAACTAGTTGAGAAGTAGGACGAGCAGTAGGAATATGTGGAAGAGCAGGTCCAGTAACGGAGGTTACAGTGGTGGGCTCCTGAAAACATATGTATTTAGCAAAGCAAATACTCCATTCAAAGGACAAGCAAGGAAACAAGTTATTGAATCTTACCATGTTTATGGTTGCAGCGGGAATATTTCCAGCTGAAATTGGTTGTTGACTCATAACTGAAAGGTACATAGAAAAAGTCAGAGCTTTCAACAAAAAGTGAATCGCCAACATATTATAGGATGCTCTACCATGAGATTTATGAGCCAACGACTATCAACATTGAAGTAGTCTACATATGTTAAGAAAGAGATTCATTATATTTAACTATCCATTAACTTGAAGTGAAATATAAGACGGTATTCAAGAAGACACAACTCAACCCAACTTCAGAAAAAGACAATAATAGATGACTAAGAAGCAAAAAGGCCTGCCTGCTTTTATGCCTCAAACAATTTTGACAAGGGGGATGGACACATAGTAGGCACGAATTAGCAACAGAGGAAATCCAGTTGATCAGTTAAGCAACCAGTCATCTATCCAACAGGTCTAGCTCAGCAATTGAAACAAATTAATCAGCAGCAGCGTAAGGAAGAAAAAAATGGAGAGAGCAGAGCGAAAGCATTCACATTTATCCTGAATTTTGATGGTTCATTGTCACCGTAATCACCATCATTATTGTAATGACCCGACTTGTCGTTTTAAGAATTTACGCCCCGTTCAGTGACTTAAGGTCTCGACCAGTTTCGCAATATGTATTATGACCCGCGGGCGTGGTCGAGTTTGATCCACTGAAGATTCAGAATTTAAATTAAAAGAGCAATTCTTAATCAGAAGCTTAAATGGAAAGAGTTGACCGGAGAGTTGACTTTTAAGCAAACGACCCCGTAATAGAATTCCGATGATGGCAATAGCTTTGTATGATGATTTCGGACTTAGGCGTAGGACAACTCGACACATTTTGGCGAAAGTTGAAAAAATATAAGATTTTGGAAAAGTCCGACCGAAGGGTGAATTTTTGATAACGAGGTCGGATTTCGATTCCGGAAATGGGAATAGCTCCATTAAGTCAATTATGACTTGTATGCAAAATTTGAAGTCATTTCGGATTGATTTGATACGTTTCGGCGCAAAATATGGAAGTTGAGAGATTTTAAAACTCAAAATTTGATTAGTAATTTCGACGTTGTTTGACGTAGTTCGAAGCCTCGACTAAGTTCGTATTGTATTTTTGGACGTGTTGGTATAATTGGTTAAGGTCCTGAGGGTCTCGGGAGGATTTCGGAAGGGTTAACGGATGGATTTTTGGACTAGAAGGAACTGCTTGAAATCTGATGTTGTTGTTCTCGCTTCTGCGGATGCTTTAATCGCAGAAGCGAGTGAAGGGGAGTTGGGCAAGGCTGATGGAGAAGGCCGCAGATGCGGCAACAATTGTGCAGAAGCGCAAGCGCAGGTGCGGCCATTGTGCTCGCAGAAGAGTAGACAGCGCAGGTGCGCATCTTGGCTCGCAAAAGCGAGGTCGCAGATACGGAAATATGTCTGCAGAAGCGGAAACTGGGCAGAATGTTAAGGACCAAAAATGGTCATTTTCGTTTTGGATTTTTGGAGCTCGGATTTGGGCGATTCTGGAGGGATTCTTCACAAGCTTGGTTGGGGTAAGTGTTTTATATCCTAAAGTGTTTATATTTCATGAATCCATGATTATATTCATCATTTAATTCGGATTTAAATGGAAGAAATCAAGATTTTTGTAAAATCTTCCAAAAACAAAAATTTAAGATTTGGAGGTCGAGTTGTTATCGGAATTTGATAAAATTGGTATGGGTGGACTCGTAATTGAATGGGTTGTTGGATTTTGTGAGTTTCGTCGGATTCCGAGACGTGAGTCCCACGGGCGAATTTTGAGTTAAATTTCGTATTTTGTTGGAAAATTAGTATTTTCACATGGAATTAATTCCTATAATTAGTTTTCACTGAATTGAATTATTTTGGTTAGATTTGAGCGGTCCGGAGGTCAATTCAAGCAACAAGACGATTTTGGAATATCGGCATAACTTCAAAAAGGTAAGTGTCATGCTTAACCTCGAGTGAGGGAATTACCCCTTAGGCATTGAGTCTTATATGCAATTTGTGTAATTGAAAATCAAGTACGCGAGGTGACGAGTATGTATTTGGGTTATATGTGCAAATTACATTGGTTAAAATCCTTAGACACGCCTTATGTATTAAATGAGAAATTATTGGTACTTATTAAATCCTTTAATTGTCTTGCCTAAATTCTAGTTTTGTTGGTTTTGTTTATATATGATGATTTGGTGGGATTGCCACTTTGATTCTTATGTGAAATATTATTTGTTGAGTTGTTCACTCCCGGATATATTTGTTAAAATTTTGTGCACACTATGGTCGAGTCATGGGCTCCTTATTATAGAAATTTATGTATTATTGAATTTTATGGCAAACTATAATATTTGAGCACTTGATGTGCAATCTGTGATAAATTGTAATAATTGAGCACTTGATGTGCAAATCTGTGATATGTTGTAATATTTGAGCACTTGAGGTGCAATTTATGAGATGTGATATTGGCACGTTATATTGTTGGGAAGTTTTGTTCGGGTGTTTGCACGAGGTTTCTGCCATGCTATTATTATTATTGATTTATGCACATGCGGCGTGACAAGGCAGGCTATATATATATATGGGTTGCGCATGTGGCAAGACAAGGTGGGAATATTATTGTGCGCGTGTGGCGAGACAAGACGGGCATTCACTTTACTATTGCACACGTGGCGAGATAAGGTGGGCTATGTCGGGGATTTATTTGTGATGGTTTGCATATTTATTTTTGGGACTACGAGGCGGTACCTCGGGAGTGCCCCTTTTGTTGATATTTTTCTATGGTTGCAGTGTTGCACTCTATGTTGCTCGGACTCTCCAAAAGTGCTGACGCACCCATGTCGGATCCTCCAAAAATGCACTAAATTTGGAGGATCCGACACGCACCCAATAATATTTTTGAAGAGTCCGAGTAACATAGGTTGCACTTGCCTTTGGTTATTTTATTTTTCCGTGATATGTAAATTCTTGTGTTCTTCCGTGATGTATTACTTGATTTTATTATGTGTTTGTATTCCTTGTTGTAATGTGTTGGTTTTGGCTCTTGTACGGGACTCTGAAGATTTGATTCTAGTTTTTACTAATTTTTAAGGTTAAGTTGTTTTGAATAAAAGAAACTGGTGTATGCTTTAATTCTTATAAGTTTTACATCCAAATCGGCAACTATCGGGTGTTTCATTTTAATTAAAATGTTATTTTCTCCATCCAAATGATTTCTAAAATAAATTCATTCCTTTGTTGATTTCCTACTTGATTTTAAAAAAAAAAATTTAAACTTACTTTATTGAGAATAAATTGATCATGTGGATCTTATATACATTGATATTATTGGCACGTGAGTAGTCCATGCAGTTGTGATAGAAATATGGGAACGAGGTGCCGTGAAAATATGAAGGTGGGTTGAGACCCGTATTTTATTTTATGATTATAAAACGAGGTGTCACAGGGTGACTTTTAAATTAAAGAATTATATTTTTTAAAAGGTATTTATTTGAAGAGATTATATGTGAAAGACTTGTTTAATTGGTTGTACTTGTGTTCTTTCTTAATTGTCGGAGTAAAAATTGTAGTGTTCTTGCTGCCTTACTGGTTATATCACTGCTATTTGTTCTCGATTATTTCAGTATGGCACAGGTTATTTGACTAGTGAGTGTCTTGACTGTACCTCGTCACTACTCCACTGAGGTTAGTCATGATACTTACCGAGCACCGCTGTGGTGTGCTTATTCTACACTTCTGCACATTTTTGTGCAGATCCATGTATTTCGAAGTCAGTTGATCATTAGCTAGTTGTGCGGACCGTTGCTGTGGAGACTCAAGGTAAACCTGTTGCTGCGTTCGCAGGTTTCGGAGTCACCTTCTGATTTGTATTCATATTGTTTACTTTATTTCAAACAGTTGTATTTAGAAAATTTTAGCAAACTCTGTAGAGCTTATGACTTGTACTACTGGTTTTAGAAATTTTAAGAGATTTCTATTTAACTTGTTAGATGTTATTTAAATAACGAAAAAGGGTCAGAAATGCCCTTAACGTATTAGAAATGGCTCAAAAATGCCTTCCTTTCACCTATGGGTTCAAATTTACCCTTAATGTTATTTTTAGGCTTAAAAATGCCCTCTCTTAACGGAAAGATGACATGGCATTGATAGGCATTTTAATTAAACATGTATCATTTATTTAGTCTGGAAAAAAGTTATTTTTTTTTACTAAAAACTGAAAAAAAACGAAAAAACAAAATTCCAGTTTTTACAAAAAAACTGCTTTAAGAAAAGCTGAAAAATATTTTCTAAAACAATATTTTTGTAAAAACTGAAAAACAAAAACTGAAAAGCAATTTTCTAAAGCAATATTTTAGCAAAAGCTGAAAAAAATATTTCCTCTTCTTCTTCCTTCCTTGTTTGTCCATATGCTTTATGAGTTCATTTTATTTATAAATTTTAGTTCTTCTAATGAGTCAGTATATCAAAATTGAAATATTTTCGTTTTTTTAGTTTTTAGTAAAAAAAAAAATCATTAGTCTCGGAAAATGTAGCATTTATTTAGTTAAACATGTAGCATTTATTTAGGAATAGATTGGCTTTCTGAGTTCCGAAAAAATGGCATTTTAATTAAACATGTAGCATTTATTTAGTCTGGAAAAAAGTGAATTTGTTTTTTGCTAAAAACTGAAAAAAACGAAAATATTTCAATTTTGATGTACTAACTCATTAGAAGACCTAAAATATATATATAAAAAATGAACTCAGAAAGCATATGGACAAACAAGAAAGGAAAAAGAAGAGGAAATATTTTTTTTCAGCTATTACAAAAACATTGCTTTAGAAAATTGCTTTTTAGTTTTTTTTCATTTTTTACAAAAATATTGTTTTAGAAAATATTTTTCAGCATTTTTAAAGCAGTTTTTTTGTAAAAACTGGAGAAAAAAATATTTTTATTTTTTTCAGTTTTTAGTAAAAAAAGAATTCACTTTTTTCCAGACTAAATAAATGCTACATGTTTAATTAAAACGGAAAAGGGTCAGAAATGCCCTTAACGTATTAGGAATGGCTCAAAAATGCCCTTCTTCCACCTATGTGTTCAAATTTGCCCTTAATGTTAAAATGCCCATCAATGCCATGTCATCTTTCCGTTAAGAGAGGGGCATTTTTAAGCCTAAAAATAACATTAAGGGCAAATTTGAACTCACAGGTGGAAGGAGGGCATTTTTGAGCCATTTCTAATACGTTAAGGGCATTTCTGACCCTTTTCCATTTAAATAATGTTGTTGCTTCAATTAATGTTAAGCTTACCTAGTCCCTAAGACTAGGTGCCATCACGATACCAAACGGAGGGAAAAATTGGGTCGTGACAATTATCATTGGTGTTATTGCTGCTACTATAAACACTACTTTTAATACTATTATTACCATAATAATTATTAGGCCAAATACATATGTAGCCCCTTAAAGTTGTCATCAAATTTCACTTAAGACACTTCAACTGAAATTGTTACCTATTAGACACTAAAAGTATGTCAAAAATGTTCCTATTGAACACCTCACGTATATGCGGCACAAGTGATTCTCACTTTGAGCTAGGCGCGTGAATCACTGAATCTTTTTCTCTCTTTTCTTATTTCTTCTTTAACAAGACCCAACCATCATCTTCTTCTTTTCATGACTACTCTACTGCTATGAATAGAAATAACATAGAAATAGGCAACAAAAAAGAAATAATAAAGAAATAGAGAAAGATGAATTGTGACTTACTATTCTCTTGCTCGAAGAAAGAAAAGATTAGAAAGTTTGCTTGATTTTATTTATTTATTTATTTTTAAGCTAATAAAAAGTTCGCTTCTTTGATTTTCCATTATAGCCATTTCGGTGCGGAGAAAATGGAGATGAGCTACTTGATTCCTTTAGCTCTTTTTATTATGGTCTGGGATGAAGTCTCGTGCCGTATTTTCGGATGAAAAAGACAAAGCTATCAAAATATTTTTTGGGCATTGATCTGAAACCCAAAATGTGTCATTTCGTTGTCCCCACCATATAGGTTCGCCGGAGACCACCAGTTGGGTTCATGGTAGGAGGAGTCGTATTTGGGTTTGACTTCACATCTTCTTGGTGGGAAATATTTCTTGCTATTTTGTTTATTGTATTTGTTGAGGTACCATCGTAGTTGTGATTCGTCTGATTATCATTTTTTTACTGGAAATTGACCGAAAAATATGAGGTTTCTGTTTTGTGGCGAAGAAGATGACGATGGGAGGGAGGTTCTAGTTCAATATTATAACAGCAGATTTGAGAATGAGAATTTTCATTTTTCTAAAAGACTTTAGTATTTCTCTAAGAAAATGAGAATGCTAACACCAAAACATAAACAGACTTGCCGGCTTCAATGGGAGAGAAGAGTTGTTCATCGGAGGAGAAAGCAGTATCCTAAAGAAGAAGATGACACTTGCCGACTTCAATGGGAGAGAAGAGTTGTTCATCCGAGGAGAAAGCAGTATCCTAAGGAAGAAGATGGCAGTAAGAAGAGTTACGGAAAATCTTCTTTTTTGGCCTTTTTTTAATTTCTGACATATCTCTTATTTTTTGGTTGATTTGTAATCTTTTAATTGGTTTGATTTGCCATGTCAAAAGAGTCCCCAGAAAGTGAAATGCATGTACTAATGTTGGTTTGGAGATATCAAATTTGTGTTCAATAGGAACACTTTTGACATACTTTAAGTGTTTAATAGGAAAGACTTTCGGTTGAAGTGTCTACATGAAATTTCGGAGAAAAAGCGAAGTGTCTACATGAAATTTCGGAGAAAAAGCCCAAAACCATACATTATCTTTGGCTTTAGACTCAAAGTCATACATATTCTTTCACATGGAGCACTAATAGTCCATTTACTTTAATAAAGTGGTGCACTTTTAGTCATAACAGTGAGAAAAAGCCCAAAATCATACATTATATTTAGCTTTAGACTCAAAGTCATACATATTCTTCCACATGGAGCACTAATAGTCCATTTACTTTAACAAAGTGTTGCACTTTTAGTCATAACACTAAACACATTTTAATTTTTAACAGAAATCTAAGATCTGACAAAATATCTGTTCCATTTATTTTCTTGTTTACCGAAAGAAATAAAGATGAAAGATTTATCTAGATAGCAAATAGTAAATATACATAGAATTTATTTACTATTTATCTATTTACTATTTATTTACTATACGTAAAATATACATTTTACTAAGAAATGTTAAATACCGTTAATTTTTATTTGCAATGATTTTTATCTAGATAACCTCAAATGTTATCTAGATTTTTTATTATATAGATAATATTTACGTTGACATAAAATAAATATATATTTATTAGATTTTTTTTAATTTTAAGGGGAGTCTACGTATAGTAAATATACATAAAATAAAAATAAATTTTATGTATTTAATAAAAAAATCTAGATAACATTTGAGGTTATCTAGATAACAATCATTGCAAATAAACATTAACAGTGCTTAACATTTCTTAGTAAATGTTTATTTTATGTATAGTAAATAAATACTAAATAGATAAATAGTAAGTAAATTTTATGTATATTTATTCTTTACTATCTAGATAAATCTGTCATCTTTCTTTCTTTCGGTAAATAAGAAAATAAATGGAACAGATATTTTGTCAGATCTTAGATTTCTGTTAAAAATTAAAATGTGTTTAGTGCTGTGACTAAAAGTGCAACACTTTATTAAAGTAAATGGACTATTAGTGCTCCATGTGGAAGAATATGTATGACTTTGAGTCTGAAGCCAAAGATAATGTATGGTTTTGGGCTTTTTCTCAGTGTTATGACTAAAAGTGCACCACTTTATTAAAGTAAATGGACTATTAGTGCTCCATGTGGAAGAATATGTATGACTTTGAGTCTGAAGCCAAAGATAATGTATGGTTTTGGGCTTTTTCTCAGTGTTATGACTAAAAGTGCACCACTTTATTAAAGTAAATGGACTATTAGTGCTCCATGTGAAAGAATATATATGACTTTGAGTCTAAAGCCAAAGATAATGTATGGTTTTGGGCTTTTTCTCTGAAATTTCGCAACAACTTTAAGGGGCTACGTATGTATTTTTTGGTTTTTCTTTTTTCTGTATTCAATCAAGAGCAATGAAAAGTTTCAAGATGTTAAACCCAAATTATATCAGGTAAGTAAACTTCTTCCAGATATGTGAGATATATTGTGGTATTGCTGACTTCACTACGGTGTCAAATGGTTGATCTATCTCACAGATCACTCGAACCCAACTTGCAGAGAAGTGCAGCACTTTGCGTCAACTGCTCCCTTTCATTTTATGCATTCAATTATTGACTTATCCTCTTGAGGGTACTTCTCACTTTATGTTCACGAAATATTCTTCTTTCAACAGAGAAGGACATCCAAAATGAATCAAGCATATCTATAGATTTAAGGTAGCAATATATGGGGCAAGCATTCATACAACACATGTATATAAGAGAGAGTTCCAGATTTTGCCTGAACCTGCTGGATTAAAAGTTGCTGCTGGCGCAGAAACTGGAGCTACAGAAGACATATCCATTTCGACCAGGCTCTGGTTAAGCGCCGAACTTTCCATTCCAGTGCGATTGAAAGCAGCACAAGCCTCGATGAAATTTTCCGAAATTAAGACAAGAAAGTTTGGATTCTTAGATGTATCAATGGGCGGGTCAGCTGCTTGTGGATCACGTTTTCCCTAGATCAATAAAAATCCGCACTTAGTATAGTCAACTGAATGAGAAGGGGAATATGTTTCGTATTTCAAATCACCAGCAGTAAAACTATGCCAGGTTAGCACTGCATGCCAAGTCAGCAGCATTTATAATTCATTCTTCTGAATAATGAAAGGATCCAAAGTCAGAAACCATGACTTAGTATGTCAAGTAGTATGGGGAATCTCAAGATAACTAAAGAGAAAGCAATAAATTATCCACAATGCCTTGAAAGCCTCTGCAGCATCTAAGATACATATACTCTTTATCATCAAGTTGCCACACTTACCCATGATGAAGCTAGGAGTTTCTCCACTCCTATGGGATATTTCAGATTCTCAATTTTGGGATTCTAAAGGGAAGCTACATTCTCTCAATGGTGGAAACTTTAAATGGGCAACAATGTTTACAGGAATCTACTTTCTGGAGCACTTGGTAAATCTTACCTGTGATAAACAAGCACAATGAGTTTGAAATAACTGGGACTAGACATTTCACATAGGTCGTCTTTTTTTATTCAAGACAAAGCAATAACAAGTGATAATGTCGTGTAGACTATCAAATTCAGATTCGCTATTCGCTATCCTGAATCCATAGTTTTGAACTATTGGAATGCTCCTGATGGTTTAGCCACCCAGAAAGGAAAGAACTTAAAAAGGGAGTTCCTCTAACAGCATTCCGTACAACTTAAACTATGTGCACTTATCGAACGAAAAAAATATATATGGTATCATCACTTTACTGCCTGTATCCTCAACATAGAACTATTGTAAATGGTTCTCAAATTTAGAAGCTTTTGAACTCAACAGAGGGTGACATAATTAATCCTACAGGAGTTTGAACGGATATGCAACAGTAATAACTGTGGATCACAAACTAAGACGAGCTAAACTTCAACATATTGTCAAGGTTGTGACCCTAAAAACAAATGAAAAAACTCAATGAAAAATTGTCCATAATTACCGCATTATATATTGCTCTTAATTTCGGAAGCTGCTTTGGGCATATAACTGAGAGGGAAACAGAGCACTGCAAGAAAATAAAAGCAATAAGCGGAGGATTATGAGGGAAGCACCATGGTTTTGAAGAGGAAAGACCATCAGTACGACAGTACCTGAGGAAATTCCTTTGCAACTGTCTCAGCATCAGATAGTCGATTAGCGGTATGTGCTTCAATGTTTCCACTCTGCTCCACATTCTGCATATGTGGATGATAAACTGGTGTAGGCAATGGATAAGGGTTACTTGCAGCAATAAGTATGCAATGTCTTTGCCAATCCACATTTTGTTGAGTTTGGCTTCCATTGAGTGAAGAAAACATCTGCATGAAACATCAGTCAAGTGAAATATTTATATGCATGCAGCACGAGGAAGAAACGCATTTGTGTTCTGCAGAGAAAGGCTATGTATGCGGAATAGAAGCAGTTCAGTTTACATTGTGATCTGACATAGACCAAAGTTCTGTCCACTACATAATCAATTCCTCCTACACTACGGCATGGTTGATAAAAAACTCGGGGCTGTTAGTATTGGCAACCACTTGTCTGGTTTTTAAATTTAGACCAAACAAACCAGATTCTAGACCAACTCAAAAACAGAAAACAGCACAATGGCATTTCTGTTTCAAAATGAGAAGCATTGTGACTTGTTGGCTTTGTCCCAAACCCAACCCCTCTTTACTCTTCAACCCACAGAGAACTCTCTAAAAAGGAAAAGGAAGCACACATGGCCAAGCGTGTAATAGAAAGTAAAACAGTAATATATGTATAAATAATACCAAGCAAAACTAAACTACACTCATAATACCACTTTGAGACAGAAATGCCAAACTCGTATTCAAAACAACCTAAACAGTAAAACACACCGTCAATGCCTCTGCAAGGCTTTCTGCAACTGCAGCATCATTGAAACCACCACCTGAGAAAGGTATAGCTGATAGCCATTGGAAAAACATATCTATGTCTCTTGTCCATCCACTTCGTCGAACCAGGCAAGCTGAGTTAAAGATGGTGAAAATGGAAGATGCAAAAGAAACGAAATGTCAACCAGAAAGAAAAAGAAAAAAGATGTTTATTCTCACGCGAGAGGTGAAAGAAAGCCTCAAAACATTGAATTAGGACACATTATCCCCATCAAATTTTAATGTTGCTCAGGGCAATCTTTTACTTTTGTTTTGGTTTGGAGGGGACACGGGGTCTCACTGAATAGCAAGTTCTACATGAGATAGTGTCACAGGATCAGAAGAGATTTACACAAGAATGGAGCATGCTGCACCCATAGCAAACTGAAGGTTTCTACTTCAGAAACAAGAGTCTACTACTAAATTTGAGGGAATAGTGAATACAAATGGAAAAATCAATCTGGAAAAATTGAAAATTATTTAAGTGAAAATTTAGGATTTACTGCACCAACTACAAGAGAGTATTTGTCTACTTCATAATGTCTTGCACAGAAAGATTTGGCTCATGAGCAATAGAGAACTGGAACAACTTTCAAGTCATGGATGGCTTATGAGAATCACACAGAATTTAACAGTTCTTCGGTTGCATATAAAGATTTTGACATGTGGAAATCATATACTGAAATATTTCACCAAATTATGGAGTACACAAGGATCACAGAAGAAAATGGTTCAAATAACGGTGAAATGATGATGTACAAAACAGCCCACAAAAGGGCCCTACAGATTTGTTTGGCGTTTGGACATAAAACAATGTAAGATTTGAAAAACAAAAAAAGAGTAGTTTTTGAAGTTGAAAAAAGGTATTTGAAAATTGAATTTATTTGGAGATGAGTTTTGGAAGAAAGGGAAAAAAAATAGACAAACGGGTCTCATGGTTGTATATGAATGGCACAACGACTGTTCATACTTAAGCTGCAATGGGTCAGCCAACATAAAAAGGCAATGGAGAATAAAATGGACACAAACCACCATGGGATCCATGCACCGCGAAAACCACCATTGCGAGCTGCCAATTGCCAGCAGATGGCTTCTGGAATTTCAACAAAGGAAAGTAAAATCAGATAACTAAAAGAATCACATGAGAAGTTAATAATTGCCTTCAACTCGTGAATATCATCTTCCCCTATTCAAGTATAGGGTATCTCAGACATTACAATCACCATCATGCAATACTAGAGAAGAGTAAGGGGTTTACAAGATGAACCATATAAAATTTACGAACCTTTTCTATTGGCTCCAATTTAGTGAAGGACCTGAAAAAATTACCCAAGCCTATTAATCCAGTAAACATAATGTTTGAAAATACAAACACAGGTCATAAATTAGTTTACACTTTAAATCAAGATATAGTTGCAATCATCATATGAATATTATTGGAACAATCCCATTCTCTTAATGGGATAAGCATATGAAAATTGAAAAGCTTATCAGTTAATCGCTCTATGCTAAAATCACTAAAGTGAAACAAAAAGAACCCTGGAGCCGGATTGACGGTAATTGTCAGCGTTCTACTCAACAACATGTTCTTATGGGTGGGTTGCTCCGTACATGACGAGAAATAAACTGATGTAAGTTTAAGTGACCAATATCACCCTTTACAAGAACATTTGCAAAACAAAAAAAGACGTACAAAAAGGACATAGAAACATCTCAAATAAGGGAAAGAATGTAATTGGGAGCTAATGGATACTACAACTAAAATACAGCTGCCATAGAAGGTAAGGAAACAGGCCTGATTATATCTTTCAGGTAAAGAATTTTAGGCCAATAAAACCCCAAGGCTGCTGTCCCTTCTACAACTACAATAAGTTGTTTGTTCACCATATTTTTCTCCTTGGCAGCCTGGTTCTCAGAGAGGGGAAATGAATATACGGCTCATGAGATGTATATGTCAACCTTGTAAACAAGGGGTTAAATAGAAAGCAACCTTCATGATAAGTTACCCACATCATTCTGGCCAGAACATTTCCCATCTGGAAACATGTCAAAAGTTCCTATATAAAACTAGGAAAGGTGTTAAAGCATCCAATCTTCTTCATCCAAATCTGTCCAAATTTACAAATTTGGAAGTGCATTTAAGACTCCCAGATAGCTAATATCTAACTTTCAGATTTAAGATCAGCAATTATACTTCTCAAAGCTTGCAGTTCCCTTAGGTGTTGAATGCAGTAAGGCAAGTCAAATAATGGGAAATGACAGTCTAAGAAACTGGAGGTCTCCTTAAATTTATCGCTTCCTGACAAATGCAAATAGAATATGATACAGCATTTTACCTATAATCAATAGTTGAGATAACCATTAAAAAATCATAAACTTGTTTTTGCATTTTAACATAGTTATCTTCTTCTGGCACCGAGGGTCTATCGAAAACAACCCCTCTGCCCTTCCAGGGGTAGGGGTAAGGCTGCGTACATCTTACCCTCCCCAAACCCCACTTGTGAGAAACTACTGGGTTTGTTGTTGTTGTATTTTCTTCTGACACCCTTCAACCCAACAAAGGAAAAATAAATAGAAAACACGGGTAGCCTCGTACCATTTCTGCTACAAAAAGCCTGTCAGAAACTAATATGGCTGGATAGCCTCTTGCATGAGCACATCGCATTTCATCAATTATCGATATCCTCATACAATGAGAGAATAATTAACCCTGTCTACTTATCTGTTCACTGAAATTACATGTTTCTCCATGAAGATCACACTCCGCCATCTTCACCACTACATGGGTGAGAATTGTCCCACTACAATCTACATGATACCACGCCTTCTTAAGACTCGATTGAAAATGCAAGCAAAAAAGGTTAGGCAACAGGTCAGGACCCTTGCCTCAACTACCCAAGGCTTCAATTATTTACTATAAGTGGAGGGCGGATCTGCCATCTAATAACCCCCCTTGAAAAAGCAATGTCTTCTCTGCCCTTAGGAATACTACTGAGCTCTGAAAACTTCTATCCCCTTTCAGGGTTAAATTTTTATAAGGGCCTCTTTCTTTCGTTCTTTTATCAAAGTTCAACTAGGTATTGAGGCTTTAACACCATCAATCTCAACTAGTGGAATTCCTCAAAAACTCAGATGCTATTTTAGACATAATCATCACAAATAGAGGTGTATCTCCGCGGAGAGGTATCCTCTATTTTGCATCATAGCATGATATTTTTCTCTCATATGCCAATAATTTTTGTGAATAATCCATCTCAATTTTTTTTTTAAATGAAATTCAAATCTTACAGGTGCATTCTAGCATGTAACTATCAAATTGTTAAATATCGACGAATTAAATCAAATGTACAGTCACAAAAGTTGGCATGCATAACCCTTTCCGCGATATGAATATTACCAATTTGACTAAAATCAATTGTAACACAACTCAATTCCAATAAAATACCATACCAAAACATAAATAAGTTGTTTTGCATTGATAGCAATAAAATTAATGACGACATGAACTTCATTAATCAGTCAAGATGAAATGATCCACGCAAACATAGATCAGATGGAAATCGGAGGGAGTTGTGGAATAAATGAGTACCGTATCATTTTGTCGAGGTAATCAGAAATGATTGTTTGCCAGAAAGGTCCCACGGCGGCAGTGCCTTCAACAGCCACGATTAGCTGTTTTTCCATCATGTGTGCTTTGCCAAAGATTCTGCAAATTGATTGTTGTTCTCCGCGTGTGGTTCTATTTACCAGGTCGCATACAGCTTAAGGAATAGGAGATGGAATTGAGAATGGAGGAAAGTTCAATTATGGAAGGAAGCTATATACCTTGCTCTCACTTCCGCTTTTAATTCTTCGCTCTCTTTAATTCCCCTTTTTCGCTTTTGCCTAATTTCCAATCGCGGCTCCAACTGACTTGCTTTTCTTTGTTTTATTAATAGCCTTTTTTCAGCTCCCAACGCATTTTTACACATTGTCTTTTAGTACATTTCATAAGGGGGCCAATGAGGGAGGCAAAAGAGAAAGGATAGATTCAAAGTAGAATTAAGTCTGTACCTAGTCACAGGTGAAATTAACAACTATTGAATCAAATGTCGGTGTCCATGTGAGGACGGCCTAATGGCCAAAAGTCACGATCCTGGGAGAACAATCTAATGGAAATAAGGTCACAATCCAGTTCAAATCGAACTTAGAAGCAGAAACCAAGAGGAAGCCCATGGAACACTAGGCTAAAGGTTAAGATTTTAGTCAAGAGACAAAAATCAACAGATCAGAGAAGTGATTGAGGTTGAGCAGTCTAAATGAGCAGCTTGAGGCGATCAATAGAACGGGCGACTGCAGGAACGCGCCAGACCCAGATAATGAGGGCAAGTGACAGTCTACCACCAGCCTTCCCAGTTTGTTACATGGATATACAAAGCACAACAACTAGGCATCGGACCGGAAAGCCCTTTACATTGGCGCCATCTGGTAATCATTCCATCATTGTCGCTTCCCACAAATGATCTTATTGATGTCAACTGGCAACCCATCACCACAAGTAATATGAGTGCATGAGCACCCAGCCTCCAGAGGAGGGTTACGACAAATTATAAAGCTGCCAAGGACCACCCAAACTGGCAAATCCAAAGACACCCCTAACCAAACTGGACGGTCATATAAAGGACATCATCCCTCACGATATAGACACATCACAATGAGCAAAGAAGAGGCCATTCTATACAGAAAGAAAGAGGACAATCTCGTTGCTGAGAACAAAACGTCAAAACCGGGCTGCAAACCATTTTCTGGTCTAACCAATCCCTTTCCAGAATGGCTTTCTCTCCTTTCCCTTTCTCCCCTCTCCTCTTCCTTTTTCTCTCCTCTGTGTCTTCTAACAAACTTTCCGTGAAATATTTCTTCATCCTGTTGCACTATCAGAAGCCAAACAAACCATCTTTAAGCATAGGCGATTTCAAGATTTGCACTTTACGGGTTCAAGATGCTAGTGAACCCACTGACCATTTAAGTTATTGGGTTATTTATTCACATTTAGTATATTTTTTAACACATATATAGGGTCTGAGTCAAAGCAACTGGGTTAGGCCACACCCATAGCTTCTAATGTGCATCTGCCCCTGTCTTCAAGGATATTCCATTATTGCCACATCAAAATAGGTGCGGAAATGAAGTAGGAGAGGAGGATTGAACCCAAACCGGACGACAAGGGCTGGGTACGAGCCTCACTTCCCTTTCCCTTCCTTTTACCTATAAACTAAGAGCCCCCGTAGAGAAGTCTTGGAAGCAATACACCATAGAGAAAATTATTGACGATTAAGAACCAATATTTGTCAAAAAGCTACCTAGTTCACAAGTCCTAATTTTTCAACAAATCCTTGAAATCTCTCAAGCATGCCCCCCCCCCCCCACCCCCCCCCCAAAACTCCAATCCTCTTCAAGAAGCTCCAATCAAGGCTCTTTGTCGATCCAAAGAAAAGATTCAACATCTTACTTTGTTCTTCTTTTTTTTATGCATTTGTGTGTTCAGTATGAGCTCATATGAAGCATAGTATGATAGAAACTTGTGGAATTTCAACTAATCAAATCAATTCACACAAAGTGGGATACACCATCCTATACATTGAAAACACAACTAAGTAAATTAAACAGTATCCTTTCTAGCAACTTAAACTTTTGGATGACATGGTCGCACAATTCAGCACTATATCATATGAATATTACTAAATCAACTAAAATTGACTCTCACGACAACTTAATTCCAATAAAAACACCAAATGATAAATAGTAATATGTTGCATTGCATGTATATGAATAAAATTAACAACGAATCAACTTCATTATTCACACACACACACAAAAACTCAACTAAAATTGACTCTTAAAACAACTCAATTCCAACAAGAAACACCAAACGGTAAATAGCAATATGTTGTATTGCAGGGATACTAGTAAAGTTAATAACGAATCAACTTCATTATTCACACGCACGCACACACAATCAACAGAAACTGACTGTCAACACAACTCAATTCCAATAAAAACACCAAACAATAAATAATAGTACATTGCAATTTGCAAGGATATGAGTAAAATTAATAACGAATCAACTTCACTAATCACACTCGCACATACAAATCGCCATGTGTACTTAGTCGAAGATTCTCGAAACTAAGTAGCAGTTTCTTCGCTTGTTGGTTCTATTTAACTCCATCGCCTGATTTCTCCAACTTATTACGCTGTTTGCTTTTCATATTGCGCTCCTTTTTTTTCCCCCTTTTTGCTTTGCGTAATTTCCATTGCTCAACGGGTAATAGCTTTTTCATTTTATATATTTATACTTTTTTTCTTTTATAGTACGAGGGAGGAAAAAGAAGAGGAAGAGATCCGAACGATAATTGAAACCGTTACATAACAGTCCCCAAATGAAATTAACAACCATTTAATCAAACATAATGTGCATGCAAAAAAAAAAAAAAAAAAA